TTCCATGTGTGATGGAAGGCGGATCATAATGATAATAAACAACCGTTTCGGTTTATATAGAAATTTTTAAAGAAATGGACGATAATGAAGGAATAAAGGTAACCGCGAGGCAACAAATCGAACAGATCATATCTATCTATCCTTTGGAAAGGTACATGATCACTTATGGCGTAAAGGAGCAGTGAAGAATCCTGTAAATTTTTTTATTAGCAGAATAGATGCTCTGAACTTTTTAGGCTCGTTGAAATAAAATTTATTCTCTAAAGGATTTTATTCTTTTTTTTTTTTTTTAAATTTCCGTTTTTTTTTTTTTTTTGAAAAGACCATCGGTGTCAAATGAATATCTGCTACGAAGTTACAAACTCATGTCGTATCTGCTGACTTTTAATTTCTCGAATCGATTAAACAATGTCTTTGCATAGCGTTTATGTTCATTTAAGGAACATTTTCAAACGCAATTACATTAGTGCAGCTTCTTATGGACATAAGAGGTTGAGAGCGATTTAAAAGGTGTCAGTGCTTTCTTTGTGCCCAAAAAAATAAAAAATAAAAAGTGTAAGTAAAATGAAGTTCTTGATCTTAATTATGAATTCGGCTATTGGATTGTGCATACTCTTGTGCATACTCTTATTCTTCTTCATCATTTCGCAGCACGTAAATTGTAACACGTGCGGTAGATGCGGCAAAAGCGACACGTCCTAACAAAAAATCTTCAAGGAAAGAGATTAAGCGTGAATATGGCAGAGCATTTTTGTGTTCCGAGAATTACAGACTAATGGAACAAAATGATGAAAAAAAAATGTATTATAATAAAAAAAAGCGACAAGAGTGTAACGCATTTTAAATGCGTTTTCCGAAACGAACCGTAAAACGAACTTTAGAAATTTCGTTTTCTTCATTAGAACTTTTTGCATTACTTTTGAAAGAAAATTCTCTACTGCGGCACGCCAGCGATTTTCAATAGGTTCAATTAAAAACTACAACTATGTTATCAAGAAATTATTGCCCTTACTATTTTAGTTGTAAATTGAATCATTTCATCATCACTCCAACACATGCGGAGCCCCAAAAACTCATAACACTTTTTAAATCTCCAGCATACTGGACTAATTACAGCTAGACAAGTAGGTTAAATGAATTTTTTTTTGGCAACTAATTGTCCGCATATTCCCCTAAATTGAAGATGCCCTACGAGAATAGTTCGGGTATTGCCGTTTTTTTAATATATTTCAATAAGGAATTGTTTATGTACTTGAATACAAGCTTAACAATTTCGCTATATGTTAATATTATTTCACTACCTATCCTTCTATCCAAGAAAATAGTAAAAATCTCTTGTCTTTTTGAACCCATTCAGGATGAATGAGACAACGTGCGTGTGCAATAATATTGAATAGCAATTATTAGTAGGTATGAATGAAAGATGGTAAAGCAGCCGTCAAGATAAGACTGATTTAAAATAAAGAGCCAAAGTCATCAGGCACCAAAGTATTATATATATAAGGCAAAACAAATTTTCCGCATTTGGTTAATGGCCTTGAAGAAAATTGAACGCATATGCTCTCACATGTTTCACATGTGTGGAATGCCGCTGAGATATCTTTGGACCAAATATTAGTCTGTAACAACAAGGTGTTCAGATTCCATTAGAGGAAAAAATTCCATTCCATAAGCTAATCTATAAGACATAGATTAGAGAAACACTATTGAGTAAAACTAAAATTATTCAAGAGATACCAGTTTTCGATATTTCATAATATGACAAACACTCGCTGGCGGATATATAACTGCAGAGTGCAAAATTACACGATGATCTGAAAGTTTCGTAAGTCAATCCAAGTTGTGTAATTACAACAGCTATACCAGCATTCATCCATCCATTCATTCATCAGGTGATAGGACTTTTGCACAAACTAAACTAAGCCTCATACGATATTTAAAAAGATTCATCTGTAATTTTATATATTGTAGCGTAAAGATTAGATTCCGTTCGAATGTTTAGAGCTCCATGATCAAAAATGATGCATAAGATTCGCATGAAACGTAAAACGAATCGAGATGAAATTATATATAGGAAACGTAGAAAATTAATTCAAGTGCTTTTAATAGAATAGAATAACATCCATTTGCTCATATATGAGGAGAAGACTTTTGCTGACACTTAATTGTATGTCTTTTACGTATAATATGCATGAATAGAGAAATGTCGTCTATCACTTAATAGTATGCAATGTTCAAGATGATGTAATATGTTAATTAGATGTAAACTCATTTATAAACTAATACATAATTCTTATATAATCTGTTGGCTCTAATTAAAATCAAGTATTAGTCGTGCATGCAATATGTTTGCCTTCTTCATTTATATTCCAAATAATAAGTGACAACTTTCTTTGCTTTGCTCTTCAGATTTTCACCAATTTCAGTCAAGAAGATTAAAAGAATTAAAACAATTAAATAAATTATTCATAGGTTAAAGCGAATCTTGTGCACCTTTTTCAAAAGCATGTAAAAAATCCGCTCAGTTTTTTTTTTTTTGATTTAGATGCAGGCGTGCCAGTTGTTTAATTGCGAAGATTTCCGTATCGAAGCTTTAAATGGCTTCGAGAAGTCTTTAATAAAAATTTGAAATCGATATCGGTCCGGGGCTTGTAACTCTTTATTCGTTTTTCAAGTTCTCTTTAAACGTATTTCGAAATTTCATTTTCAAAATTGATTTATAAATCTAACTACATATATACGCATTTGGCGCTTTAAGAGAAGCCGCATAAGCGGTTATAGTAAAGTCGATTGATGATGTTGAAAAATATGTATATATGTATATATATATGTCTTACATGTTATAGACAAAATGGCAAAATTATTATGATTTCATAGTTCACTATTAATATATTATATATATATATATATATATATATATATATATGTATGGATGAACATAGAAGCTTTTATCTTTCGAGCCTAAATATGTTATCTTATGTAAAGTGTTCAAGTTATTTGTCACGTAGAGCAGTTCGCAGTACTCAGTAATCTGTGAAATGATGATGCACAGTAGAAGAACAGCGATTATATAATTGAAAAATCATAAATTGTATGTAATTTTAAGATAATTTGCATAGCGATCTATTTAAGATATTGATGAATTGTTGACACAAATTTATTTATTGTTTATTAAGCATCTGTTAAATACCGAACATATCATGCGTTCATATTTATGACTTTAATATTAGATTAATTTTTATACTCGAGTCTTTTAAACTAACATATAAGTGTACTTACGGTATCCAAATGAAACGAAAGATTTTTCGTTAATACGTTTGCTTTGTTAAAATGCGTTCTGGAGACCTCGACGAGCCATATATAAAAAAAAAAATGTTAATTATGTGAGCTTGATAAGGCCGACACTTGAATCACCGCATAAGTAAGACATATAGGAGTTTAAGATAGGAACCGTTACCCTCCTTGCCATCTTTTGAAAAGAGATCACTGATTGAGATCAGCGTTAGCTTCATTAGAGAAAGATAAGTTTATCCCCTAAGTGTTTTATTCTTAGTTAAGTTAATAGATAATAAAACTGACTTGCCTGCCCCATTTAGGGGGGAGGTTACTTAACAGCACTATTCCTTATCGTTCTTCCAGAAATTTGACTTGCATAAAACTTGGTCAGTGTAGATGCAATTAAATGATTCGTTAATTGCTAAAGATTCGTCATATGCTTCATAAAATGAACTAAATATATTAACTATTATCGGTTGACACGCTTTTGAACGCTTTCATCCGTTTACTGATTCACTCCTAACCCGAATCTGTACTGGCTGCGAGTGTGCCTCTTTGCTACATGTGTAAATGCCTTTTATCGCTTTTTCTTTCTTGTTTAATTTTTTATTCCATTGCTTATTCAGATTATAAAATTCTTTTGGATATTTAACTGACTTATCGTCTACTCCTTATACCTTACACCACTTATGGGACAAGAATATATTAAGTTTGTGTGGATGCAAAAAACATTCAAAAGAAGGAGTTGACTCAGATCCACATTTTATTGTACCGCATAAGAGGATACAGTAAGTGATTCTGAATCGATCTATTTATCTTCGCCTGTCTATTTTATTTTTCTATGTTCAACTTTCAGGTCATAATTTTAGAAATGTTTTAGTAAAATTTTGTACATTGAAGTGTTTTGGCTCAAAGACAAACACTATTGAGAATGATTCGGATTAGACGACATTTTCGGGTCTTATGTTAAAAAGCGGTGGGGTTGTGTAGGGTATTTAATGGTGGGCGGTGGTCCCCTGTAGCATTTCTACTTGTTTTCAATTATAACCTTCTCGATTATAAGAGATCTAAAGGCAGCAGGCAGGCGAATCCGTGTGAGTACCTGATCATAATGTCTTAGAATCACAAATTCCATTCGCTTTAAGGTGAATACGCACCACGTGAATCAACTGCAAGAAAAAGTTTTGCCTTAATAGCGGCTGTGGCAAACAAAATACAAACTGCATACAGGATATATATATATATATGTATAGGTTCAATAAACGCATGTTTTTCATTTCTCATTCGCTAGCTAACTATTACACTATGCACGCATATTTATTTCGAAATTCTCGAAACACCATAAATTGATGGAACTAGGAACATAAATTTATAATTACATCATAGCGAGAAACTTAAAAAACTGGAGCGCTTTGCTTCACCAGTAAAAAAAAGCAAAGTAATTTTATTATACATCAAAAATTGAGAAATGTCCCAAAGCAGCTGAAGCTTCTCGCATATATTGAGTTCGCTGCGAATTTCCAAACCCCCAATGGACGCGCTATTGCTTTAGCTGTATATGTGAAACATTTCAACTTCTCAAGTAACACAATCAACTGTCTATATCGGCTGGCGCGTTCGAATTTTACTTAGCCATACTCTATATATATATATATATATAAAAGCGATTTTTATTAAAAACTAAATATCTTGAAATGATTCTTTTTCTTAAATTTGTCTTTCAGGAATTAGGGCTAGTTGGGAGGAATGGTGGACATACGATGGTATATCCGGTGAGTAAATGTACAAAGTATTTCTATCTTTAAGAATTAATTATGCAAAACAACGGATGACAACTTTCATCGCTTACCAATAGATAGATAGATGGAGGTGGAGGTAGGCCTTATCTACCATAACGCGTCCACTATTCATTTCTTGTAACAATTTAGCAACACCAACTTAGTAATTAAGCGGGAAAAATAAAGTTTTCCGCAAATGTGTTTTTTTTTTTGGCATAGAACTGGATCTATTCGAAAGTCATTTGAACTGTGTTATCGAGACAGGCAAACGAAAAGGTCCCATTTCTATTCACTGCCTTATAGTTGTTTGTTGCAGTGTCCCAATGCAATTATATCTTCATTTACTATGATTATACTCTACGCCAATTGCGGTACAAGGATGTATTATGGTTATACGGATGAACGCAGTACCCAGAGGCACGTGATATAGATTCATTTTATTCTTTTAGACCATTACAATATAATTACCTATCAATTGATAATCATTTTCAAGTTTATCTGTCCATCTATCTATGTGTCCAAGTATCCATCTGTCCATATTGCTTCCTGCCATTGAACCTAAAGACCGTGATTTTTCAAATATTGTGATAAAATTTGTTTGCATTGGCGTATCTTGGTCCAAGGACGAATAGTGTTCAAAACGGTTTGAGTCGAACAAATTTTTCGACCACTTCTCATATAACGCAAAATTTTTCAATTTAAGTACGAATTTTTTAACTACAAGATTATAAAACTCAGTATATTTCGCTCCCCATTTTTCTTTAATTGTTTGCAGCTTATAAGTAGTGAGAACAATTTATAACGCTATAGCTCGGGCTAACTGTTTACAAAATGTCTTTTGCTTCGCAACAACTTTTAATTCGATTCGCTACATATATATATATATAGTGCGCCTACATTTGAGTCTCACGGAAACATTATGCAATACTGCAAGCGATAAGTAACGCAAGATACTCCTCTCATTTCGATAAAGCGACGTATTGTGCGTGATAATTAGATTATAAGATTTACCAAAGGCCCGATAATAGTAAAAAGATTCAATGTTTGTATTAAATACAACACTCATCTTAGAATTGGGAAATGTCGACTAACTTAAGTTACCTGCAGACTGCTTCTGTCATTTTAATCTTCAACGTGATCGTCAGCGACGCCTTAGAGGCCATTGGGCCGATATACACCGCACATATACATATAGTTTGACTGCCTTTGAAGTAAAGATAAAAATAATGTCTCGTGGAATGTGAACAATTATCACTTTTCTCTTGCATCCGCTGTACTCAATTTCAATAATAATAATTGCTTGATAACCTGTTGATCTATGTCTTCGGTATGCATCGACCTTTTGAAAAATAGCTTACTTGCCTCCGTTACGTTAAAGAGTTAACTATTTATTGTTATGAATGCTGACTGCTGTTGATGTTTATAACGTCTCCGCTTCGGCCTAAGACGAATGTACAAACATATCTTTTTTTCAATTGCATATTAGGATTACAATCTCTAAAGTTGCTACGACTTATGGGTATTTTGAATAAAATGCATGTAATAGGGAAACGTGTTGCTTGTTACGGCCGTTTAAATCTTTTTTCTTTAGTTCAGAATGAACAGAAGAGAAATGAAATAAATTTCTATTTAAAAACAAAATTGTATATATTTTATGAATTACATACATACATACATACATACATACATACATACATTCACCTCAAAACAACTCTTACACAATTAAATAAAACAAACATTTATACCCATCCATACGGTACGTTCATATTTAAAGTAAATAAGCCCGTCAATAACCTCTGTGCACATTGTATACATACACATATAAATTCATATATATATATATATACAATGCATATTTACATACAAAGATACATGTGCGAATTTAATCCAAAGGCAAAACATTTCTGCTAAATAAAATAGTATGTAAGCTTACATAACTGTCGTAGAGCATGTACGTGTGTGTGTATGTGTGTGTATAAGTTTATAGACAAACAGTTACACGGTATGTGTTTATATATGTATGTGTTTTTTTAAAAACTTTTCGAATTACGCCATTATGATGGCGAAGTGGACTGTGAGAATTGTTGTACAAAGTAATAAAGGCACCGACGCCAATTCCGCCGACTCCGCCACGGCCGCCAACCTATCTATTTTGTACCGCACAAAAATTTAAAAAGAAAGAATGTCAAAAATTGTAACCCGTTCGTTGCTATTAATGTCACTGAGCTGCCATTTAGTTTGACACGAACATTTCAACAAATTTACTTCTGTATAAAGGATGAAAGCGCGTGTATGCATGTTTTTGTTAATGTTTGTGTACACTGTGCACATTGTATAACCGCACACAATGTAGCTTTGCTCAATCATTGAAAACATACGTTACCGCATTTACAAAAACATTTGCACGAAATTTATGTAAAGGTGCCTGCCTAACAACGACACAACTACACAACTACACAGACTGAGGCACAAACGTATTCGCGTATTCAAATCAACAGTAAACAAAAAAAAAAAAAAAAAATATATATATATATATATATATGAAAAATTTAAGTGAAAAATATAAAATATAATAAAAAAGAAAAAAAAAAAAAAACTTTGACTGTGATTGTAGGCAAACAGATAGACAGACGGACAGCCAGACAGACAGACAGTAAACTCAACTTTTTGCCCGGTGTTATTATTTTTACATTTAACATAAAAGGGAGAAGCAAAAAAAAAAAAGTTACGAAAATAAACGTTTACAATGACATTGAACAAAATAAAGCAACTAAAGTGAAAAACATGAAGAGAAAAGAAAAACTCTGAATTTATACGAGTATTATAAGCCAAAAAAAGTCTCTACTGAAAATACTACATTTTTGTATATTCATATATATATATATATGAATATATATAAATAAATATATATAAATGTATATGTGTTGATTACATGTATTAAATATTGTTTTTATTACAAGATACATTTCAACATAAAACACAAAAACCAAACTTACAGACAACTTGGACCGATTTTTATTAACCATACGTTTATTTAAAAGGCGAGAAACGTTTTGATAACCACGACGATAACATGTAAGCTTAGCTGATTTTTTGCGTGAACAAATATCATTAAAATTAACATTCGTTTTTTTTTTCTTTTTGTAAAGCATCTCTGATTTGTGGGCATGGTTTTAGGTTACCTCCTTAACTTAATATGTGGGTGCGGCAATAACTGCACAATAAGATTGACTTTTAAATTTTTTCTTACTTCCATGACGAGAAGATAAGGCTTTTTTGCTGACAGAAAACAATTTATGCCATAACTAAAGAGACATAATTGAATCAATTAGCAAATCTCAGGCTGTTAATAAATGTGTCGACAAAATATTTCCTTGGATAGTTCGAGTTTTGTTTCGGTTCGGTGCATTAAGAAGCGTCGTCACCATTACAGTCGCGACAGTGCTCATATCGTCCCAATCATCCAAATGAGCGAATAATTGAATTGAATTTATTCACCAACTATTACGTTGCCTTTTAGATATAAGTCATAGATAGAATCGCGAAAAAAGAAAAGAACATTACAGCTATGTTAGTGGCGGTCGAATTTCATATAAGCTTGCATCGTACAAGGCTTAAATTCATGCCTTATACGCATTTACCGATTTAATAAAAGACGATTAGAATCTGTTCCGAAACTTATTAGTAAAATATCATTACATATATGTTTCTCCTCCTGTATATCGGGATAGCCTTTCCTTCCCTTTCCGCTGTAATAGCTAGAGTTGTGCATTTGATAAGTTATCAAATGCATATCACTCTATATTTGCTCGCTAGAAACCTTTTAAATGAAGTTGCCCAAAGAAACAAATCATATGTATCCCATAATAGAGAATATGAATACGATATACATTGTCCGCAATATACTTGTGTGAATTGTTGTTTAAACCATGACATAAAAATATCGTGTTAAAGTGAAACAGCCTAGAAATAGAGCTTAATGTGTATAGATTCTTCGTTAGCGTAATATTTTCGAGCAATTTCGTAATGGTACCACGTCCACTCTTCAATCTTTTCCTTCTTCTGTTCTTCTGTTCTTGTTCTTGATACTCTTACTACAATAGCAAAAATTAAAACTAGACAGGTAGAATCTTAGCTATGCCTTAGGTATTGAGTATGAAAATTTTCTAAATGTTGATAACCGGCCCATTAACGGGCTCAAAAATAACTTATAATTGAAAATTATTGAGAACAAAGACTAAACAAAGACTAAAACTAAGACATAAAGCTTACTCCAATATCTGACTAGAGAGAGGATCTATTATTTTGAAAATTATTTAAAATAATTCTTCAAGCTTAACAAAAAACAATTTTTGGCATTTTTGTTATTGCATGGTCAATGAGTTAATGAAACTTAATTTCGCCTTCACGTATCCTTTGATTATTTATAGAAGTTTCAAGCGAAACCTCAAGCTTAATACACTTTCATGAAAAAGGCAAACAGCAGAGAATACGTTGATTTATTATTGTTTGAAAACAATCGAGAATAATTTGAAATAATGAAATAAATACTGTGTTGCCGGAAAAAAAGAAAAATGTGAAAGAGAGAAAGAGAAAGAGAAAGAGAGAGAGTAAGAGAGAGAGTAAGAGAAAGAGTAAGAGAGGGCAAAAAAAAAAAAAAATTACTTTAAATTGTTAATTTTCTGCATAAAAGCAATTTTTAAAGAAATTTAAAAATTTGTTCATGAAATATTTAAATTAAAAAAAAAAATTCGCTTTGCGTTTTTTTTTTTTTTTTTTTTTGCTCTTTTACTTATTTATTGCAGGACCTAGTTTTTGGGGTCTTATCAACCCGCAATGGAATATGTGCAATAAAGGCCGACGCCAATCACCCATAGATGTTGTACCCGATAAACTTTTATTCGATCCATTTCTACGTCCTCTGCATATAGACAAACACAAGGTATGCCATCAATTAGCAGAATGCTTCACAATACTGATTAGCTTTGAAAAAAAGCTAAAAAAAAAAAAAAAATTAAAAAAATAAAAAAATAAAAAAAATAATAATACAAAAATAAAAAGATAAAAAGATAGGAATGAATGCTTTTCGTTCTCTTACTTCATTGTGCTGTAATTTTTCGTTTCGTTTTCTATTTGTATATACCTTGTAGTATATAAGGACAAAATATTTGTGTTTTGTGTTATCATTAGGTTTCCGGTACACTACACAATACAGGTCAATCGCTTGTCTTTCGTGTTGACAAAGATACCAAGCAGCATGTAAATATATCAGGAGGTCCTTTGGCATACAAGTATCAATTTGAAGAGATTTACATACACTATGGCACGGAAAATACACGAGGATCAGAACATTACATTCAGGGTTACAGTTTTCCAGGAGAAGTGAGTTAATAATCATAACGTTCCCTTCTACTCTCATTTACTTACAATACGATGCGATGCAGAAAGCGAAATAATGCAAAAACAAAAATTTGTTCTCTACTTTTACTCTTTACCTTTTTTTTATGCTTTTTTCTTTCGTTTCATTTTTTCACTTTTTATTTTCAAAAACAAAAAAAAAAAAAAAAAAAAAAAATTATTTCATGCAGATACAAATATATGGCTTCAATAAGGAACTGTATCATAACATGTCGGAGGCTCAACACAAATCTCAGGGTATTGTTGGCCTCTCGTTAATGGTGCAAATTGGCGAGACACCAAATCCCGAGTTGCGTATCATAACGAGCACTTTTAATAAGGTGCTCTTTAAAGGTAAGTAAGTAAACATGAATATGATTTTTTTTCCTTTCTTTCTCTTTTTTTAGGTCAACAGGTAATTACACTTGAATAAATTGACAGAAGCCACCACCACTTTTGAAACACTTTATAGACAAGTGTCAAAAGCATTGACATATCGTAACATAAACTTTCAATTTCCGTTTATTTAAATCACAAAATATCATTTGAACTGTTGACCTTATTTATAAAAACAAAAAATCAAAATGAATATGTGCATATGCTTCTTAGGCATATTCTCATGATGTTAGTGACCGACTGACCGACCGACCGACCGACCGACCGACCGACCGACCGACATAAAAACCATCCGTCATGCATATATTGATCGAATTGTGACATATTTTCAATTATCTAACTTTTATATAGAATGAGTTTAAAAGAATTGACGATAAAAAGTTATTTTCGCTTTTTGTTATAGTCTGCAAAAAAATATCGCAAAAATGAGCAGAATCTCTAAAACCAATTTATTTGCTCAAGCATTAAAATTTATAAAATCGTCTTTGAAAGATGTCACATGATTCAAGACTTAAATGAAAGCCACAAACAAAAACTATTCTTAATAAGTAACCGAATTATATTCGGTCGCGACCGAATCTTTTATACCCGTCACCGCTATTCTAAAAAAGGCAAAATAAAAAAAAAAAGGAATGGGCGCGAATGATTGCAGCTAATTTCAAAATAAAAGTGTATGCCTCATAGGCGTGTGATCGTTGTAGGCGTGCTCTTGGAAAAGTTTAAGTCAGTTCCAAATTTTTTTCCAAATTTATACCCGATATCTTCATTACACAATTGGGCAGACGGACAGACGGACATTTCCAAATTCTTTTGCAAATTTATAGCCGATATCTTCACTACCCACTTGGACAGACAGATAGGGGAGCA